GCTGGTGACTTGGAGCGCGGCGGTGTCAGTTTGCGTGTGATGTGTGAACATATAGCGGTTTTTTCCTCTCAACTGTCTCTAAACATGCATGTGCGCATGCGTGTGCAAACACACGTCCAGCTTTAATACCAAAGCTTGTTTCAGGGGGTCGCCGCAAGACTTGCAAATGCTCAAATAAATGTGTTTTTTTTGTTGTTTTTTTTTTAAAAAAGAACAGCATGTTGCTAAAGAGGAGTTTGCTTTATGTAAGGACACAGGGCAGGCGAGGCTCTTTGGCCCAGCTGGGATTCTGCCATAGACTGTAGAAATGATTTTCTCACCTCCTGAGCTGGTGTTCTCAGGAGGCAGCCCTGTGCCAGGTGGGCAGGGTTGGGGGGCACCTGCTGTGGCCTGCGTCTCGGCTCCCCTGCCCTTCTTCCATGGCCCCATCCGGCTTCACTGTTTCTCTCTGAATTTGGGCCTTGATAAGCCTTGGAGTAATGGGCCTGTACATACCCTGTGCCCGACCCCACCACCGTGTGGCCTGCCATCTGGGTGGCCTCTGTATGCTGTGCCTGTGCCCATATGGGGCCACCATGATTACATCCTTTACAAAACCTCACTGTGGTGTGGACTTTAGAGGGATATCTGGGTTCAAACTCTAACCCTTCCAGCTCTGTAATCTTGAACAAATTCCCCTCCCTTTCTGAGCCTCAGGGTCTTGTCCGGACAGCAGACCTGTCCCTCATGTTGGTGGGGTCACTGTGAGGAACCCGTGGCTCCAGTGCTCAGCTCGTGGCAGACACCGAGTTGGCACTTCAGACCTTGTGCGTCTCTCTTGCCTCCTTCCCCTGGACTCCGGGTTTCTCAGGATGTTCCTGCACGTGCTGAGCTGGTTCCGTCCCCGGCTCAGCTCAAGCTACGACATCCCATGAGCAGTCCCTTCCTAGTCCTCATCTCGGAGCAGCATTGACACAGTGACCGCCTTTTCCCTCTTGAGCTCCCTCCTCACTTGGCCCCGTGCACTCCCTGCCGTCGTCCCCCTGCCCCTGCCACCCCCCCTCCCAGGAGAGCCCCGACTGGATGTCTCTCAGCCCAAGCAGCCCAGGGTAGAGGTTGCCAGCCGTGTGGCTACAGGCACTTGACCTTGGCCAGTCCAAACTGAGACGGTGAGCTGAGCATGCAGTGCACAGCAGACAGCAGAACCTCAAAGCAGAAATGAAACTCAATGAATAAAATAAAATGGAAATATACGTAAAAATACCTTGTTAATTTTTACATCAATTTCTTGTGAAAGGGTCGCATTTGGGACACGCTGGGTGAAATGAAGTCAAAGCCAACTTCACCTATTCCAGCTGCGTCGTCAGGGTGGCACTAGAGAACAGGAAGCTGTGTGTGGCTGGCTTGGCCTGCAGTGGACAGAGCCACCCTAGGCAGGAACCCAGGCCCGAGGGCTCTTCTGTAGGCTGCGACCTCCCGCTTGCTGGGTCTCGGCCCCCCTGGAGGGTCGTCTGTTCTCCACTTGTTCTTTCATTGCTCTCATGTCCACTCCACTCAGGGCTGAGTCCCTCTGGTGTGCCAGGCCCTTGTAGCATGGAGGAAACCAGTGCTGGCCTGACATGTGGCCCAAGGTCAAGCTAACACCCAGGGCAGCAGGTCCAGATTCGGTCTTCTTGCCGACCCGACCCACTGCCAGTTCCCAGACTGCAGAACACCTGTGCTCCAGGCCCGGGCCACACTGCAGCCTGCCCCAAGAGTGGGGTCAGCAGGAAAGGGCCTGTTAGCCCCCTGGGGAAGCAGACATGGGGTCTGGTGTGGGGGGACTCAGCTTCCAACTTTCTAGAGTCTTCAACCCACCCGTGCCTGGGTGTCCTCAGCAAAATGCCACCTAGCTCTGTGTTGGAAGCTGCAGGAAGAGGGACAGGCAGAACCCACGCCACCCGCAGCAGCCCCAGCCGGAAAGCAGAGGCTGCGCTCCTGTCACCAAGTCCCTGTCTGGAGCTCAGAGGGAAGAATGCTGGGAAGCGTAGCCTGTGCTGGGCCACCCTGCCTGTCTCCAGGGGACTGCTCAGGGTCCAAGGGGTGAGCAGGGGCTACTGGCTGTCAGATATTGCAGGGCAGGGCCTGAGGGCCACCCCATGAACATAGTCCCCTTGGGGCGAGCAGCCAGCTTCCAGTCCAGCTCCTTGGCGTCTGACAGTTGGAAGGCAAGCCTCTCATTGGCTTATTTTCCTTGATTTTTTCATGTTTTAGTTTTTAAAAATAAGATGCACACGTGTCTATGCCTCCCCATGTGAGAGGAGGGTCGCTCGTGTAGTGTGTTAGAGGCGATTCTGGTGCCCTGGGTGCCATGGACTGTCAGCCCCGGGCAGGGTGAGTGGCATCCCTCTTAGCCCACGCTGGCCAAGGCAGCCACGCCTCCCAACCAGGCCACCTTCATGCACATTCAGCCTCTGCGGAAACGGACGCTAACTCCATCCATTGTCCTGGACCACAGTCGTGCCACGTGGCCATTCTCCTGTTGTCCTTGCCTGGGGAGGGGGAGAACCCCCTCTCTCCAGGGGAGTCTGCCTGCGCCCTCCCTTGCCCCCACCAGGGTCTCCACTCCCGGCAAGGCGCCAGGTCACCACCGGCAAGGCACACACACCTCCCACCTGCACTTACCCTCCTGCATCACTGCCCAGGGAGACCAGGCCTCCTGCAAAGCACTGTGGCTGATTCACGGTGTTTGGAATGTGGCATCAACCCTGGTGGCCCTTGTCCCCTCGTCCCCTCGCAGTGTTACGTTTTGCCCTCCACCTTCTGAGGAGTGCAGAGGGTAAGAACCCGCCTGCTTTTCCTTCCCACCGCTGCTGCAGCCGCTCACCTGGTCTTAGAGGCCAGAACTACAGGGATCTGTTATCTGACGAGGCCAGAGCCCACGAATCCCAAACGGGATTACCAGGCCATCGCGAAGATGTGGTCCGAGTATTTTCCCTTCAGCAGCACCAGCGATGGGTCTGTCCTGGTCTCCTTCAGCTCCCCAGCTGCCCTCGGTCCCTGGCCTATACCCCAATAGCATTCCGACCCTGCGTCTGTCCTCAAGTCCCCTTCCCTCACCCCGGCACTCCTGCCTCCCTCTTATACGGACACTGCCAGGACACCAGGGGTCAATCCTCAGCACCACATAAAAATAAGTAAATATTAAAAAAAAAAAAAAAGGAATCCAAAAAACCATCCAGTGGAGGAGTTGAAACGTGGTCTTCTCTAGGGAATAGGGAACATGTTTAGGAGTGCATCTTTCTCGGAAAAGCATGTCCCTGAGAGGGGGATGAATTGTCTGTGCAGTGAGGGGCCGAGTCACGTGGGGTGGCTCCTTCACAGAAGCTCACGGAGCCGCCTCGCTCGTGGGCCCTGCAGTGCTGGGGACGTTCTGGGTCTGCCGGCCTCACGTGGCCAGAGTGGCTGAGGAGCTGAATTCTCCAACCTTATTTAGCTTTAATTAAGTTACAGTTAGACATAAATAGCCACACGTGGCCATCGGCCCCCGCGCTGGACGGCACCTCCTGGAGCGAGATTTCCTAACCAGGGCTCCCTGGGTAGGCCATAGGCGGCCCTGAGGAGATGATGGGTAGTTTTATGTCTGGGGGAGTCCATCTGCAAGAGCTAAGCATGGAGGGCCCTTTGATTTAGGAGCTTGGCTAATGGAACCCAAAATGCTGTTGAACAGGCAGTTACCAAAGCTGGCACACCTCTAGCGAGTTCTAGAACTGCAGCATCCCAGAGTGGGAGAGGACTGGGCTCCCCACTGCCCCAAGGTGGTGGGGCTCCCCTCATCCATCTCTGTGTGAGGCTGACGGTCCAGGTGCCAGGCTCACTGGGCCCCAGTTGGAAAGGGCGGAATGCCAGGAGCCAAGCAGCCTGCCCCAGCCCCACCTGCCGCCACCTCCTCCCAGGAAGACGAAGCCGCCCTTAGGCACTTAGAGATGGTGGCTGAGGCTCACAAACACAGTGACTTCCCTTGTCCCACAGTTAGAGAGTGGCTGAGCCAGAAGTCGGAATCAGCGCTGCCCAGATCTGCCGTCCCCCTCCCTGTTCTGAACCCCTTGAAACTCTACCCCAGCCCCCACTCCTGCCTGCCTTCACCCCGGGTCCACAGAGTCCAGGCGCAGGCTCAGGTTTACCTGTGCCTTGCTGGCCTTTGTTCTGAGGGTGTTCTGGTGACAGGGCAGGGGCAGGCGCCCTGAGAGCCCAGCCCTGGCCCTCTGCTATCAGCTGCAAAAGTCCTGCCCCTCTCCCCAGCTCGCCCGCTGTCCCTGTGAAGCACTTCCTCACCACCATAATTTGACTTTATCTTTCCTCCTGTATTTTCTCATAGCGTTAGGTTTATTTTTCTAAAATAATACTTTATCTTCTTCCTGTGCCTTGGTCTGACTGGTGTCTGTCCTTACCAGCCCTGGCCGGTTTCAGATGGGCACATACATCTGGGTCAGCCTGGAACTGAAAGAAGTTGTTGGATGTTCTTGTCCCAGACGTAGTGAATCCAATCTGGCGTGTGGGTCTTGCTCAGACAGGGGTTTAGACGCCTTAAAGTAAATCCTCGAGATCGTAGGGGTATGTGGACAGGCTGTCCCCTCCTACAGCATGGGCACAGGACTGTTGGCTCAGGGTGGAGTTCCTAGTGACTGCCAGGCAGGGCTTCAGAATAGGCTGGCCCTCCCGTTAGCAGGGCACAAGACAGCTGCTGAAACACGACAGTGGCCCAGGCCTTCCCGAGAGAAGCAGCCTCAGTGACCCCACTTAGACCGACATGGGGACTGCAGCCCATGGCACGTTCTAACCGGGACTTAGTGAAAGTGAGACCCACTGTGCTCTCACGTAAGGGAGCGTCAGTTCCCAAGTGGGCACGCGGGTTGGGAGAGGGCTTTACATAGTGGGCATCAGCTCAGAACTCTGGGGCTCAGAGCTGTCTTAAAGCGCTAACCAGTGTTCCCTTCTCTTTCCTTCCCCACGCTGCTGCTGCCCCGCTGCTGCTGCCCCAGGATTTGCGCAAGCAGGTAGCGCCGCTGCTGAAGAGCTTCCAGGGGGAGGTAAGCCTTCGCCTTCAGTCCATACCCCAGCCACCCTGTGCCTACCCTCTCAGTCTCACTGAGTCGATGCCATTGACAGGACATCTGCCCAGGCAGAGCCTCGTCAGCTGCACTGACCCCACATGGTGCAGACTTTGCACTCGTAATGGGACTTTCCCCTCCGGGTCCTCAGTGCAAGTCCTTCTGGAAAGGGAAGCTGCATGTTGATGTGGAAAGGTGTCGGGGGTTCAGGGGACAGATGCCCTGCAGGATTGCACTTCCATGGCCTTAGGAGCCCACGGACACCTCAAGGGGTCGCCCTGTGCTATGAGTTAGTCTGGGCTGCTGCTGCCCCAGGCCTCCTGCAGGGAATAGATGGGAACAGACAGAAGATTCTGGTGCTTTCTGAGGGTTGTAGGGGAGGAATTTCACTGGATCTGAACCCCAGAGGCCAGGCAGGAATCACAGGAGGAAGCCTGCTGGTGTGAGGGAGTGTGTTCTAGTGGTTCCTTCCAGAGAATGGCTGAGCTGTCTGGCAGACAACTGCAGCGTGTCACCCGAGACATCCTGTGATGTCTGCTGCCTGAGAACAGGAACGGCGCCCACGGAGAGCGCCGAGGGTGGAGGAGGGCGGCGCTCGGCTCCCTCCCGGCCCTGTGCCGACAGCAGGTTCCAAGAAGATGCAAGTGGTGACCTGCAGGCCCAGGAGGGGAGGGCCTGAAGGGAGGGCTGTTTTGGGGGGCTGAGGAGTGCTGTCGTCCTGCGGTCCCTGGTTCCCCTGTGGGTCAGCCTGGACACTGGTGCCTTACGCTGACACCGCTTGGGAAGGCTAGAATCCTGGCCCAGGGCTCCAGCGGTAGTAGCTCCTGTTTGGCAAACCCTCAGCAGGCAGGTGACAGCAGAGGGGAGGGGAGGAGGTGTGTTGGGCAGGCAGGAGGCCAGAAGGGAGATGCCAGGACACCCCAGGTCCATGGAGAAGAGCGGCTGCAGTGCCAGTGAGGAGTTCCCCAGGTGGATCAGTGTCCCTCTTTTTTATGTACCCAGCCTCGTGGAGTGCCTATGTCCTTGGCTAGGTGAGGCCCAGCAGGCTGCCCAGATCCCAGGCCTCTGATGCCTTGGATAGTCTTGTCCTTGATGTCTGTCTCCAGATCCTCACCTGATGAGTGACACTTACCTGACATGTTCCTGCACTTGATCTTATCTGCTCTCTGTTCCGAAGCTTTTGGGAGGCCCCTGGCTTAGGGTTTCTCTGCCTGCAAAGAGCCCAGCAGGCTTCTGTGTCTGCTTGTTTTTCTTTTGTTTTGAAAATTTTTGAAGCCGCTTAAGGATAGAAGGCTCAGTGCAACTGACACCTGTGCACCTCCACCCAGCTGCCCACCTGGTGGCGTCTGCCACGTCTGCTCTCCACCCAGCCTTCTCTAAACATGTGGGAATAAGTCGTGGGTAGCGTTGAGGGTTGGAAATGACAGCCCCAAAACAGAGTGGCCTGGGAAGAGGGAGGGAGGAAGAAAGCAGAACGCTGATAAGATCGATCCTTTCCCAGTGACAGGACAATCCCTGGGAGTGAAGCAGTCATCACCCAGTGACAGGACAATCCCTGGAAAAGCAAGCATTGATCCTCTCCCAATATGTGCTTTCCCAGAGACATACAGTAGACCCTGGGGGTGGGGGGATAAGTGCCGAACTCTGGATCCTCCATCCTTGCCCAGAAAAACACATTTGCCCAGTACAAACAAATTTCAGATTCTCTCAGCCTGTCTCCTGGGGGCCCTGATATGTTCTGTTAGTCTTGAATGGTTAAGCCACTTTGCAGTGAAGCCTGTATAAGCACAGATTCCTCCTGTGACCAGGGGCCATTTTCTATCCAGAAAGTGACGCTGGGCCTCACTGCTGAAAAAAGGCTCAGCTGATCCACGAAGTCTGACCCTGTCCGGCTGTTTGTGCTTTCACCATGGTGCCAAGACCACTTTGGTCATTTTTGCTTCCAAGCATGACACTGTGCCCTTAAACCTGTGTGTGTGTCCCCTAAACTAAGGAAGCAGGAAGATTGCCCAGCATTGCCACAGTGATCACCACCCACACCTGGGGACAGAGCAGTGACTCCAGGTTATCCAGCCCTTGTCCAGAATCTCATTTCCCTACTTTCTCAAGCTGCTCTTGGAATTGCCCTGCCCCGTCCCCCCTGGGCGCAGTCGGTTCCCATGCTGCATTTGGGTTTGGCAGCGCACACACATCTATTCTCTCCCCCCATATCACCTTTTTTTATCTATTAAATTGATTTTTTTAAGGGGGGAGAATCAAGGCCAGTTTTTGTACAGATTGTCCTGTGTTCTCGGTGGGCTAGGGGCTTGACTTTGGTCCTGTCAGATTGGAAATGCCTTGGGCTGGGCAGAGCGCCTGCCTGCATGTGTGAGGCCCTGGGTTCACTCCTCAGCACCCTCCAGGCCCCACAGGAGGAAGGCAATGCCTGAGAGCGGATGGCTTGCCACTCGCCCACTTTTAAAAGACACTTTGAAAAGGAAATTTTTTAGCACCATTAATAGTTATCAAACCTCTGGTAATTACTATGTGTTTTAAAATAAGTGTTATTGGGTATATTTAAGGCATACAACATGATGTCACGGGATACGTGCAGATCTTAAAGTGGTCACTGTGATGAAGCAAATTAACATACCCACCATGGCTCAGAGCTATTCCTTTATTTGAGGCAAGAGCAGCTAAAATTACATTCAGCAGAAATCTGTGACACGGTCCGACTGCCAGGCCCCACCACCCCGCCACGCCCCACCGCACCCTTGCAGCCAGCTCTGCACACCTGCTCATCCCAGTACCTGTGGCTCTGCACCCTGGCCTCACCTCCCCATCTCCTCTTCCTCCCGTGTGCTCTGTGGATGTTAAGTGAGCTAATAGAAATGTCTAGTTACTTAGTGACTTTCTCATAGTTACTTCAGACGCAGGAGTGCTGCTCCTGCTGTGGAAGTAGGTTCGCTGTGAGTTCATGCAGAGGACTCTGCAGGAGGCCCCGGGAGTGGTACAGGTGGTCTCCCTCTGCCGGAGGCTGGGAAAGCCTGTGGGGCCCAGCAAGCCTCTCATGGAGCCTCTCATTGGAGGCTCTCTCTCGGCACCTTCCTTGGTTTCTGCCAAACTTGGCTTTGGTTCCCGCCTTTTTCTTTGAGCTCGTCCCAGGGCACTTCAGCTCCTGCAAAAACTACAGACTAGTGTAGAAAATGTTCTTTGCCCAGAATTTGTTTTGTTGCTGTTTGGTTTTGATTCTGTCAAGCAGAGATGGAGCCGGGGCCTGGGCCACTGAGCCTGCTCTCTGCCCTGAGCACGCCCTGGCCCTGCTGCAGAATTTGTACAGGTTGCCTCCTCCCCGAGGCCCCCTGAAAGAGAACACAGAGCCAGCAGGAGCCACAGAGGAGGTTTGCAGACAGCCAGGCACTCTGACTCCAGGGTCCATGGCACTGAGTTTCCAGGGGGGCGTCCACGTGTGGGGTTGACCTGCCCTGGTGGCTGGGGCAGTCACTTACCCGCTAGACTCCTCCCTGCTCCCCCGCTCTGCCTCACCTGGGACCCGCATCCCTTCTCCTCACCCCCAGCCACAGGCTGGCTCCCTCTGCCACATGGATGGTGGCGCTGTTGATGAGGTGAAAGGTGCCGGGTGCCCGGGAACGCCTCGCAAGAATCCTGTAAATAGCTGTTGTCCTTGATTGAAAAGTTTGAGATTTTCTAATCATAACAATTATATATAATTATTATAGCAAAGTCATCAAAGCTAACTCACACTGAAATTAGATTGATTGATTGATTGCCATACCTAATTTTCTGCTTTTCGATCCCAGCCGATTGATGGGGGGCAGGTGTTAACCTGCATGTTGAATCCAGTTGAAAGCATGTCCAAGCCTAAGGACGGCTTAAACCAGCCCTCGGGTAAAACACCCTCTAAGAAAATGCGGGGTCTCTTGAACTGTCCCCCTTCTCCTCTCCCTGGGGTGGGTCCTGGTTTGGACAGTTGGGGTGGGGAGCTGGCTGTGGCAGCCCTAGCAGGGGCCGGAGGCTCTTGGGCCAGCTGTCCTGAGAGACGAAAACCCTCTTGGGCAGTAACCCAGGTGCTTACGTCAGAGGGAGTGAGAGACTGGGAAGTCCTCCCCCCACAGCAAATTGAGAAAAGTGCCACAGAATAATTCCAACAGGAACAAGGAAATGACAATATCGTTAATTAAAACTAATGATATTAATAATAAGGATTACATATCAATAATAATTAAATCCCATTAATTATAATGAACAATATTAAGTAAATACATGGGTATTAATAGTAATAGATATAAGAACTGAAATGCATGAAATAGAAAGGGCCTAAGAGAACGTGCACATCCGGGCGCTCAGGCAGCCTCCACCCCACCCCACCCCACCCCACCTGCCGTTGGGACCAGCGTTAGATGTAAAAGTGGGGACAAGGTCGCAGCTGAGCAGGTGGGAGAGGTGAGGAGAGAATGCTAGAAGCAGCTTTATTCCAATGACTGGAGAGGCAGTGGGAACTGGATGGCCTCGCAGCTCCTCCAGAAGCGTCCCACAGTCAGATGGCTCCCTGGGAGAGTTCTCGTGGTCTTCAGGGAGCACATAGTTCTAATCCTTTGCATGCTCCTTTAGGAAGCATCTTATAGGCTTATGTGACTTCAGTGCCAAAACCAGACGAGAACAGTGCAAGAAAATAAAATTCAGCCTTATTTATGAGTGCACACGTGGGGCCTTAGAAAGGCCAGTGAATCCACCAACTCCATCTATCACAGGATACTGTTTGGTTTAATATTCAAAAAAAAAATGTAGCCGTGTCAGTTAATGTCATTAATAGGTTAAAAGAGAAAAATTGTCATTTCAATAGTTACAGGAAAAGAACTTGATAAAATCCATTCCTGATAAAAAAAAAACCACCAGCAAACTAAGAATAAAGGGAAACTTCTTTAACCTGGTAAAAGGTATTGATGAAACACATCCATCGGTCACCAGATCCCGTGGTG